AATCTCGCCAGTAGTAAGTAAGGGAGCAGACAAGGCTGTCCAAACGGCCAGTTCCATTGAATGTAGCCAAAGAGGAGAAGGTTGGGCCCACATGAGATAGATGAAAGAAGGACCCCTCAAACGTGATCAACCACCCACCCACACAGCTTCAAGAATGAGCTGATGAGTACAACTAGCTGACTCCTGTTTGGAATGGGCAAGAAGAAGCCAGTCATCCATGTACAGGTGGAAGTGCAGCCCTAGGGTATCAATATGCCGAGCAAAGGGTCAAACCACTTAACAGAAACATACAGCATGGAATCCAGATCAAAGGGCAGGGTGCTAAAAAGGTATACCATTCCATGACAAGAAAACTGGCAGGAGTAAAATCCGCACAATGCATGTGGAGCAGATATGACAAGCCAGGCGACGGGTCCATGAGAATATAGCGTTGCGACCCAAAACGTCCTAAAGAGAAGTGAACCATGTGTGTGTATGGCCAGAATAAAAAACAACATGCAGCCAACAGTGGAAGGGAAGAGGGAAAGGATGTCCCCGGAAAACCCCACAGAGTTCCCTTGAAGAGCCTCAGACAGGAATGGGATTGAGGTGAGGTGTTACAAGAGTGTCAGAGGAAGACCAAGGTCGGAAAATGGGGCATAGGTAGGAGAAACAGGAACATAGGGACCCTCCCCCTAAACAGGTAAAACTGAATTCACAACTAGTGGTCCAGAATTTGGGAGCCCACCCTAAAAGTTGCAAGAGTGGACCGACCCAACACCCGCAGAGGACTAGGCATACCAATGCCATCACCCAACATGGCAGCAAAAGCACAGTGTGAACCCGAACATAAGGGGACGAGGAAAAACCAAGGGAGAGAGGTAGAAACAAGCAATAAAGAAGGACATGGGTCAAAATAACTATGGTAAGAGATAAAACATCATATACCTGAGATAAAATCTCTGAGAAAGTCGACAAGGGCTGAACAGAATCCTCTGGAAGGTGTGGAAAGGCACAGTGAACTCTGGAGGGGAGATAACATTTTTGTCAGCCTGTGCCTTTAAAAGGCTCGAAAAGTACAAAAACGAGAAGTGCACAAACAGGAGACAACGTTCATTCTTTATAATGCTCCATCTCCCCATGAACAAAGACCGTGAGAAATCCCCCACGCCTATGGCTGAAAGTGCGATAACAGACTAGTGATATGCACCCGAAGTGGTAAGAGAGACCTCGGAATTTAGGCTAGATACTAAACAAGCGAAAAATGCATGGCAAACACAGATAAATAAAATGCTCTCAAATAAAAGTGAAATTAAATTAAATGAAGTTAAATAAAGTTAAACCACTTCTAGGGTATCAGTGGTCTAGAGAAAGATGGCTGCAACTGAGCATTACCAAACGAGAAATGATAGTTCGGTAGTGGTGCATAGAGGGAGTCACATAGTCCACACGATAGTAGTGCTCTCCTATTGGTGGAGAGTTCATGCATGATTTTTGCATGAGAGACATGTTGGAACTTTAGATTTCAAGAGAGAGAGATGTGGAAGGCTTGTGGCATGCGTTTTGAAAAAAAAGTTTGCATATAGAAGGCAGCACAAAATGGGAAAAGCTAATTTTGTGTGAGGAAGGAAGGTACCAGAACAGAATATCTGGTGACAAAGTTGAAACAAGAGATACTGGCCTGTTAGCATGACACAGAGAAAGGCAGGTGAGGAATCATAGTAAACTAGGATAAAACATAACAAACCTGAATTATTTAGGTGACAAAGGGAAGATAAAACATGATAGTGAGGCATAGGCAGAAGGAGGGAACAGGCTGTCAAAAGTATCATCCTCATATTTAGGCATACCCTCACATAGTATTAGAGAACAATCATTTCGCAACTCAGAAGACTACAAAAATGTGAGTCAACCCCCTTTCAATAGAGCCATTACTTAGCAAAAAAGTTTGCCCTGACACCATTCGAAGCTTCAATTGCAAATCAAATATCAGTAAAACTTGAAAGAAAAAATCAACAAACTAGTAAATGAAAAAAATGAAGACACAAGTACATAAATTCGAAAAAAAGAAACAATTAGTAGGAAAGCACGAGCAAAAACACATCCTATCAGTAGGACTGCTAATTTAGAAGTGATTAAGGGCTGCATGGAAGAGAGGGCACTAGTTACGATAGGAGTTGTGTTACACTCCTATTGGTGAAGGGTTGCTGCATGATCATTTGCATGATAGCATGCAGATGTCTCACATGGATACAGATGAGGGTAGGTGGGAGTATCATGGCTAGTGGCGAGCATAAATTTGCCCCTTTAGGAGGCACTATAAGTTGAGAAAAGCTATTTGTGAAACGAGATATGATATTGTACTGGAAGTTTTTATTTTGATAAGGAAAAATTCAGCAGGTAATCTAGTCTTCTTGTTCCCACAGTGAGTCAAGCAGCCACTGCATCAATGGATAAAAACTGCATTAGTAATTATAAGAATTTATAAGTAAAAGAAAAGCAGAATATGCTATAACATGACAACCAAACTACACCTGCAATATCTAATTTTCATGAGTCCTTTTGCCCAATACTAGGGATCGTCAAGCTACATGGGATACAACAGACATAACAGTTGTCTATGCACTATTTATATCATCAACATTTATGAACAACTGTTATGTTGTGAACTAGGTTAAGTTAATTGTAAGTATTATAAACTTTATCTAAGTCCTTTATTAATCAGATTTTTAGATAAAGATTAATAACACAATATTATTTCTTTATTTTATATTTAACATCAATTATTTATTTATTATTTTTATCTGAATTAACTTTACTATCATTCAGAAGAACTGGTGAACTAGCAAGCTAGTTTTCTTGTTTCTTGAGATAGTCAAATAATCACAGTGTCAATTGTTGTAACATTCAAGGGGTAATTTACTATGCTTTGACTTAAGAAGGGTTTGTTTTGTTTTTTGGTTTTATTCAAGGTTTTGTTTTTATAGCATGTGATTGTTGGTTAAAGGACATTTTTCAATTCTGGTGATATACTGAGTTATTCTTTGTTAAAGGGTTCTTTCAGTGTGTGCTTGCTTTGCTGTTAAAGGATTTATTTTTGGATTGTCTATATTATTTCTTTTATAAGAGTTTTTCTGGAATGTATTTCAGTGTTAAAGGATATTTTATAAGGAAAATTTTGTTTGTGTAATGCAATTTCTTTAGTTAGTTAAGGGTTGTGATATTTGTGTGGTGTGCAATTTCAGGAGTGAGAGAAAGTTACACACTCCTTAATACCAAAGTGTGAGTTTAAAGTTTATCAGTTTTGTGCAAAGATTGTCAGCTTGAGGGCAAGCCTGAAGTAGAGGGGATGAGAAACTGTGGTATATGAATACACTATGCATTTATATCTTCTTGTAATATTATGGTACTTATTCTTTGTTCTTTGTATACACAGGTTTCACATAACATGTAGTCAAGAAAACTACTGATTTCATTCTGTCTGTCTTTATTCCTTTATTATTGTTATGACAGCGGAAGTCGCGTGACGCTGGGAGCATGTGCACTGGAGTTTCTCGAAGTATCAAGAAACCCTGCGAATGTCCGAGTATTTGCTAGATGCCCTCTTTTTTAGTATATAAGCCTGGCAGAGAAGCCAGCGATAGATATACAGATATATAAATGAGTCAACTGAACAGTAGTGACGTTGAGCCGTAAATTGTGTGTGTTTTGCAGTCGTCGCATAGAGCGAAGTTATCGAACTTGTGAATCGCGTGTATTATAAAGGTAGTTAAGTTTAGAAATGTATTGATTGTGAAATTACTGTGTATTATTAAGTTGTATTGAGAAAGAATAAACTAGTTTTAATCAAGAAGGGACTTGTATCACTGAAGTTCCTTGGAAATAATTTATACCGGAAATTAACAAACAAGTAAATACGTAACATTATTTTTGAATGCATAATATCTGCTATTCAAGGTTATTGAGGGCAATGTCTTTCAATGGTCATTCAAGTGACATCTAGAAGTTATGGCCCTACATATGTTGTAACAAGAATGACCATTCATCTTAGTAGCACTATTCATTCTAGATAACTGTGACATTTCTTGCAAACTGAGAAATGCTATATTTAGTTAGCTTTAAACATGACCTTGAAGAAGCAGCTGAGAGAATCCAGTAAAAGCCACAGTCTTATGTAAGGAAAGGTAACCACACAGTTTGTGTCTAATTTCATTATTCTATTTTACATCATGACTCGGTTATTAAGAGATTTAGTTGACTGTGTGATCAATATATCGTGATTGAATCTCTAGTTATTATGTGGCCCTATTCATTAGCTTCATTATATCAGTTTACCTGAATATATACCACATAACATCCTGTAAAGCTTTTTTTTCAGAATATTGACCAATTTAAGATTTTTACAAGACTGTTGGCAACCCTGGTTAGAGATCCAAAAATGAAGAATCAAAGTGAAAACTTCAAATGGTGATAAAGATAGTTCTTCAGCATTAAATCTGTTTCTTTATAATTTTCCTCACAGAAAAAAAAAAGTTGTTATTACAGAACAACAAAGCTTCAGATAATCCGTGATGTTTTTTTAATAATAATTCTTATTTTCTCAAATTGATAATTTTCATCCTTTAAAGCTTAGTTAAATGCTTTGTGATTTAAGTTTTTTAAATCTGCAAAATTTAACTAGTTATACATTATAAAAGTTCAACAGGTTTAATAAAAATTATTATATTGCTACAATACTTGTGCAACAAGCAACAATGTGCACACAAAACCCATTTTATTCTTATAATTTTGAAACAGGATTAAGTCTTCAGTTACTTTATACTATTCTAAAATTAAACTACCTGTTGTGGTGTTAATGCCTTATGTTTGTTAATAACATTGTTTGTATATTACATTTTACCGTTTAACTTATGTAGACTTATAAGTTATAACTTTTAGTTGTAAGTTATGAAACTTCACATGGACATTGTAATTTGTGTATTTTATCTTATCCTTACATTATAAATCGTCATAAAACTTACGTTGGCTAGTACGACTGGCTGGTTTATAATAACATTATAATTTGACATATTTAAACTATCTCATATCAAATAAATTAACTATCCTTTACAAGTTTTATGTCAAATTTAGCCTACCAATCATTTCCCAAGCGCTAGTGTTTTAAGCCTAAAGTAACCAATATTTTATTATTCTGTTAATAGATGGCGCGTTTATTAATATAATTTGACTATTATTTTTTATTTTTTTCCGTGATTGTCAATTTCGGAACAAAAAATTATGCTTTGATTATAATTATCTTATTTACGTTGATTTGAACCAAGTAGACAATTATAGTTTCTTATTCGAGGCAAGAGTGTAAGACGTTAAAAATATGCGAGTTTAAAGAGTAACTTGGTATTGTTGTGTTACGCTGTTAGGCTTAGGTATATAGGTGGACAAAATGATGGAGGCAAGGGAGGGTGGTCCTGTTCAGACTTTTCCTAGCCATAGTCCAATTATCGGTTTATCCCCAGTTGCTCCAGGATTAGACACATTATATGCAGTATGTCGTAGATTATATCCTGATCAGCCTAATCCTCTCCAAGTTACAGCAGTTGTCAAGTACTGGTATGTCTAAAGTCATAATAATACTCAAGAGTCAGAACTACAATACCATAGGGCCTAAGCTGTATAAGTGAAATCACGGAACCTTCTTGTTATTAGGCCTAACTTTTAATCGTTATTTCCAGTGCTTTACTCTGTAGAATAATTAGAAATACCATAGATATTTCATACGTGTGATGTACATGACCACTGGGTAATAATGTAGTAGATTAATGAATCTAGGATTATTAAATGTTCAAATTCAGATACTGTTATGTTAGGTGGCACATCTAACAAAGAGATTAAACAAGTATAATGTTAACAAAATAACTTTTTGATTGAAATATTGAAAATTACACTTATCGTATATAGGAATAAACAAGGTGACAGAATGCCATACAGCTCACCAATGTCACTCCTTCCCTCTTCATGTATTCCCCAAACCTACAAATCATAAAGATTTAAAATGCTATAATATGTCTCCTATCTTTAGGCCTACAGGCTCAACCTTCAAAGGAAGGCTAATAGTACTACTACTAGTATTAATACTAATAATTGATGGAAGGGCTTTCATTATGAGGATGGGTTAAGGTCCTTAAAGCTATTTTCTCTTGAAAAAAGAAGAGTTTAAGAGGATTTGAATGAATAGTTCAAAATTATGAAGAGAATAGAAAGGGTTGATGCTTAATCTTTTTCTTGTTTTAAGATTTGGCAAGGTAGAAAATTATCTACAAATTAGGAAATATTATTTTGCAAACAGAGTGGTCATACTTTGGAAAAGATGAACTTTACTGCTTTAGATATGGTAGATGCCACATGATGGGAGAGTTCAAGAGAGGATTTGGTGAGTACTTGGAGAGAAAGGGCTGGATATAAGCAAATGGGCATTTGATGAAATCAATGTCACAGCTACGATGTACCAAGGGGACCTGTTGTTACTCCTCAAATGTTATATATATGTAGAACAAAATGTTACAGATAGCAGTTCACATTATATGGTAGGCCATTTTATCAGTTTATAACGTATACAGAATGTTGTAATTTTGTCAAAGAACAAGCCTGGATTTGTGCTTTCAAGGCTTATACTTATTTTCCAGTACTATAATTTTACTAATTAACAGTTTAGTGATCTAATTCAAGTAGTTTCATAAGAACAGTGCTATATCAACAAAGCTAACATTGTAGCCAACACTTCATACAAACTGAGTCAAAATCTTTTAAGACTTTTTTTTTTTTCATAGCTCAAAATTTTTAAAGTATTATTTCAGTAATAAGTTTCTATACCTTTTTTTTTCAGCAACACTATTTTTCCTTACTATGGTAACAAAAATGTTTTGCAGTTCTTTTGATAAGATGTCACAAATTAAGCTTCATTTGGAACACTATGTTCAGTTTCTCTCTATAAAAGAAAATTATTGGAAAGGGTTCAAGGGTGGACTACTAGGATGATTCCAGAAATAGAAGGGTTAGCTTAAGATCTCTTAACCTTCATTATTTTAAGAAGAGTAAGATAATTTTATTAAAAGTTTAAAAGATTATTTGCGGGGAGCTTCTTGTTTCTTTCTACTGTTTTCTGAAAATCACAGACTGACAAAACATACGTTTAAGACTTGGAAAAGACAGGCTAAGCTCCAGTTAAGACAGTTTTATTTTTCTAATCTCTCTGTTGTTTTTTGTTTTACTGTGCCATATATGCAAGTGCTTCTCTGGTACCAAACTTGTGTAATTTCCTTTTCTAATTATATTTCATTTTCAAGGGATAACAAGGAACCATGTGGTCCATGTAGGTTATTTCATTTGCTGTTACTGCCTACTCCAGACTACATACTATAGAAGCAACTTTCCTGTTTCTGATCTGTAACACATTTACAAATTAAATTTTGCATAATTAAAACATCATTGTCAAAAGTACGCATTTTTCTGTGTAGCTAGAACTAACTGTAAATAAACTTAACAATAAAATATGGCAGTTTAATTTTATTGTTTAAGTTTTATTGACCAGTATATTCATGGTATGTTTAGCCCCACTTGTAAATTGGTACTGTTACTACTGTAAATTTTTTTAATCTTTAAGGTGTTTCTGCTTTACTGAGTTTAACAGCTATTTCTTTGCATGGCAAGTTTTCTCTTAATAGAGAGAAATTATTAAAAGCAAATATTATCATTTAAAAAGAATTCTATGTGGGTGATTATACATGAAACCATTTGGCATTGTAAATACAATTCACACTGTTTAGCTTATTGTACATGTACACCTTATAAAATAAAAGTGTGCAATTATATGCATTCTTAATTTAAAACCAACAAACCTTGCTTTCTTATTTTTATATAAGCACAGAAAGGATAAACTACTCCTCCAGATTTCAAATGCAATACTTGAAATGGTACACCTGTATTTGTCCTTGTAGTAGTAGTAGTGAATGTGTATGCATACCGCCAGATATATATTTCATGTATTTTGTATCTGGTGTAGTCAAGTAATAGCTGTGAAGTATTACATGTATGGACATTATGGTGATACACATGTATATATTAAAGTACCATCAGATATATGTTTGAGATTCTTTATGTGGTGTATTCAACTTGTAGATGTTTTGTATTGCATATGCATTGTATGTATGGGCATTCATTCACTTACTTTAGGTGAACTTACAGAATTATGTATATTTGGTGTATTTAAATAGTACAGTAGATGTTATGTATTGTGTATGATAATGTCTATGCATACATCTTTATTAGGTATGTCGTGATACAGCGATAAGATTTATGTATCTTCCCGAAATTTGGCAACCTTTCATTTCTTTTATCAAATGCATTAATGCAAAGTTACATAAATTAACAATAACAAATTAGATAGACATATATTAACTTTTTTTTATTTTACTTCTCTTGCCAGCTGCCATTTATTTGATCAAAGCTGAAAATTTGAAAAAATACTTTAAAGTGTGAAGTACTTAAATAAGACAATGTTAGTTGATTTTTCCAAGTAAACCCTTTTAAGTGATTTATAATTTTTTTTTGCATGCTTTTTTTATGTAAGTTGCAATGTATTACTTCAGTAATTTCACATTAGGTTATATATAAGTGAATGGGTATGGCTATGATACTTACTTGGAATTAGGAACTTAAAAAAAACTCCTTTTACTTCTGTCTTGAGCAACACATGGACAGGAACTGCAATAATTTACACATCCTTTAATACTTTCATTGAATTTTATGTTGTCCAAAAAAATTTCAATTGGCTAGAAATGTACCCTAAAATTTCAATTTAACTCCTCCCATTATTGTTCAGAAAAGTGCTGGCCTTCACTAATGCTGACAGCAACTCATTTCATAAGTAACTCACCCTGGTTGAAAATTTATCCTCCTTAGAAGTTAATATCATCATATGCATGTTGTGTACATGTTTAATTTTTTTTATATGAGCTCATTGAGCTCAGCTGTGATTTTATTAATATGATTGGGTATCCTGTAAATTTTTACTTTCTTGATATGAATATGTGTGTTTATCATTTCAAAAGAATGGTAATGGTTGATTCTACATGGAACATTGTAGATATAATTAAAGCTGTTACGTGTAAATAGAATAAGCATGTAAGAAAATAAAAAATTTAAGAGGACTGAAGACTTTTATATAAGTACGTGTATAAATACAAACATACCCAGAAAACATCCTTAGTGCTATTTCATGAGTATTCTCATCAGCCCAAAAATATATCACACTATAATATTATATCGAATAATTAAAATTTTATTCATTGACATATAATTGAAAAATATCCAGTGATTATCAGAAGGTTTAGCATAGGAAACCAGAAAATAAATCTACATAAAGAAATTAGTTGACAAAGTTAAACATATTTTTTGAATAACAGATTTACTTAGTATAAATGTGTAAGAAAATTCACATTATTATTAAGTTTTGCTAATTATCAAGGTGGAAAATTTGTTATGTAAGTATTTTAATTCCTTGTATACATCTACAAGAATGCATATAATTAACCTTAAAAATTAATTTTCTAAGTCTAGTGTTCATGGAGTTTACACAGGAAAAGCTTTTTTGTATTTTCTCTTCCTTCCTTCCTCCTCTGGCTTTTTAATTTCCTTATATCTAAAAATAGCATGTTAACTGATCTGTCTCACATCTGTCTGAATGGAAAGGAATGCCCATATGGTTCCAGTCTTATACTTCCTGTCCAGGCTGATTCAGATATTTATCCTAATGTGGTTGTATACATTCACAGGAGTGCATCTTTGTTTTTCTCTCTTTTTTTTTTTTTTAATAGTTCAGTTTTTTGACCTTATATAAGGTAAGTAATTTATTTTTATATATTATATTATAAAAAACACAAAGTGCCAGCTTATTACTTTGCATTTTCTATGGTATAATACAATATGTAATTCATTTTATACTGCATTCTGTATACTTGTATGTTGTAATTAGATAAGGGCATGTAAACATGTTTTCTATATCTAGTACAAGTTTATTATTTTTATTTTAACTTTCTATAATTCAAGTATTTATTTGCCACTGATTTTTGCTACAGTGGAATTGAATTTGTTTTAGTAAAGATTATTAAGCCAAACAGTTGTAACATTTATATCATTACCTTATGCTGTTCTGTTTGATTATGTAATTTATGAGTGAAGATTATATTGATACTTTTAGGTTAGGTGGTCCTGATCCTTTAGACTATGTCAGTATGTATAGTAACCCTGGTGATGAAGAGAAAGGTGTTCCTCCACATTGGCATTACATCAGCTTTGGACTCTCAGATTTGCATGGAGATGGGCGGGTTCATGAGTAAGTGTGCTCTTAATAATTTTCATGGAATTTACTAGATTTAGTGTTTGTGATTTGCATAGAGATGAAAATATTAATTATTATGGTTTTAGTGATTTATTAATGTAATCTCAGTAACTTGTGTGAAAAATGAGTAATTCATGAGCATATTGATAGAGACTTACCTGTAAATTAATAATTCATGATAGATGTGTGTGCATTCGTAAGGTTACTTGTTTTTTTTATTTAAAAGGTGCATATATTGTTTACCAAACTGAAAAATTAAAAAATTCTGCTGATAATATTTGTCAGTAAATTTACCAAATTGTAAAATACTTCTCATCAAATGCTCAGTTACTTACCTTGCATAACACCACTAAGAATTTTCTCAGTTTGTTATATAATTTTGATGTATATAGTTTTTTATTTTGAGCACCTTCAGTTTAATGTGTATCATAAGAGTAATTGTTTACCAGCCTGTTTGTCACATTTGAAATTACTGTGCAATATTTAAAAAAAGAAAACTATCATTCAACAACCAGTTGAAACTCATAAAATATCAAAAATATAGTTTATTAATTATTTCACAAGTTGCTAGATTAATCATTGGATATGCATGTGTTTTGCATGTTTCATTATTGTAAAGATAGGTAATTTCCACTACTAAGGCAAAGCTAACCATCGAAGAGGAGGAACATTAATTCTGACAAGGTACCTTTCTTCCATTCACATACATAGCTATTATTGTTCCGTGGTGCCTTCTATTTGCAAAATTTGTTCATATGCCACAAGCTTTTCATTCCTATGTACCCCTTGGTTCACATAGTTTAACCAATTCACATATGTAAATCATAATGTGACAAACCTTGAACAATATACGTGCTCCCCCCCCTTCCCAATATGATTAACATGATTCCCTCTATGTTATTCTACCTAACTATCACTTCTCATTTGGCAGTACTCGTCTTCATCAGGTGTTTAGTCTGTGCTCTTTTTAAGTCTTTTTTTCGTATCTTTGTATCAATTTCTCTCAACAAGTTTACTATTTATTATACAATAGTGATATGTGTAACGTATTTCAAAGTGGAATTATTTTATCTTTGTACCCAGTTACTGATCTTAATACTTTTTATTTGTTTCTGCCAACATGGTTGTGTTTGGTTATGTGTTTTTAATTATGCAATTCCAAATTCTAAGTTATCACTTCAGAGGTTTTATCTTCTATTAGCACTTTTACACAGGGGAAAGCAGAAGGGGATAGCTGCCCATCCCTACCATTCCTTAGATTGAATAAATGAGGTTTGGTCTGCTTTTCAATATAGGGTTTTCATGGTCACCCAGTGCACTGTCTCCAGTGTGAAAGTTTTTTGGTACTCTCCACCTCATTTTTTCCACCCGTTTCTTCTAGTGGCGTAAGAGAGTCCTTACCTCTTTCTAGTTCCAAGCTGCTGGGGTGGTGGGCTATGGAGGTATCTTCCTGAATGAGAGATATACAATGTAAACAATAATGCCTACATTTAGTTGAGAGTAGGGCAGTGGTGGTGTTCTGCTGGTGTAGAAATGATTGGGATCCCTCATCCTATCCCCCACATGGAAGTCAGTTCCTGCCAGTTGAGTTTTGGATTTAGAGCTGAATCAATCAACATATTGTCCACACTCATGTTGTGAGGATTGGGATCAAACATCCTACCCCTGAATGAATGTAGGTTCCCAGAAGTCGAGTTTTAGATTTTAAGCTGAACCAATCAGCATCTGTCATCACATATCTTGTGCGATTGGGATCCCTCATCCCATCCCTGCATGGATGTTGGTTCCCATGGTTGAGTTTTGGATTTAGAGCTGAACCAGTTAACATAAGTCCTCACACATGTGTTCAGGATGTTCCTGCTCCCTCACTCCATTCATCTCAAGTGTGCTTACTGCTATTGTGGGTTGTAGTGGGAGCGCTTGGTCATTGCTCTGCTTCTTCTTCTTGCACTACCCCTCGATGTCTTTATGCCAAGGATGTTATGGCATTTGGAGTGGTTCCAGTCAGTTTGATTTGATGGGGATATATATATATGTATTTCATTCTGCTCACGTGTGCCCTGTTCATAGATTAGTGGTGGGATTTCTCCCCTGATTGGCTAAACTTGAGATGGAGATGATATAATCCTCTTTCCTACCCCAGTATGAATGTCAGTTCCCGGCAGTTGAGTTTTGAATTGCAGTTATTTACTGAGGGTATGATCTTTGCCCTACTCCCGTGTGGATGTCGGTTCTTGGTAGTCAAGTTTTGGATGCAATGGACTTGCCATCTATGGTCCCTCACACCCTATCCACTCTACACCTTTTGGCAAATCCCCTCTTTTACCCACATGGGTTTGTGCTCCTCAAATTTGTTCACCCAGATCAGTCTCACCTTTTCCACATCTGGGCGAGGAGTATACCTGGTACAGAAGTGGTGCAGTCCTTCATGTATCACCCCTCTTCTCAGAGGGTTGTCTCTTGGGGATTTCCTTCGAACACATTTGAAGGATGCTTCTGTTTTCTCCCTTGCATCGGTCCCTCCACCTATTCAATGTGAGATTCTAGCTATGTATGTGAGCAGAAGTAAGGTGCCTTGTTGGAAGTTATAATTTTCCTACACTGAAAATATATTTCCAACAGGTACTTACTTCTGCTCACACGTCCTACCCATTCTCTCCACTGTCCACCGGTGCTTATATTTTGCCTAAACTCGAAGTGATAGTTAATTAGAATAGCATAGAGGGAGTCACGTGTGTGGGGGCACATCTATTGGTGGAGGTTTGTCACATTATGATACATTTGCATGAATTGTTAAACCATGGGAACCAAGGGGTATGTAGGAGCGAAAGGCTTGTGGTATGACAAAAAAATTTTGCAAATAGAGAGCAGCACTGAAAGAGAATAGCTATGTATGTGAGCGGAAGTAAGTATCTGTTAGAAATATATTTTCAGTGTAGGAAAACTATAACATTTGTGTAAGTAGTGGCACTCAGTGTGTAATGTTGAAAAGAGAAACTAAGAGACTAACTTGAAATGACAGTTATTATTAAAATATGGTTGTAAATAATGTTTATCACATAAAAAAATATTTTGTGCATAATATACTGCACAAAACAATTTTAAAGAATAATTGAAGTTTGTAATATCAAAGCAAAACAACTATTACAAAATATGTCACTCTCCTCAATTCATTATTATGCAAATCATACATCTCATGATCATGTTGTGAGACAACACTATCATTACAAAATAATAGGCCTTATGAACATCGAGGTTTTCTTTCTTAAAAGTACAAAAGCTTGAACAGACAAAATTCTAGATGTAAGTACTAAATGTTTTGTTTTTATGTATATTTTTTCTTTATTGTTATAAAAGTTACAAAAATGTAAGAATTACAAACTTAGTTACTTAAGAAAATTTAAAAATTACTCATGATAACATGTATACATAGAAAGTTTGATTGTGTAATTCAAGATGTCACTGATAACTTGATATCTAGTGTGCACAAAAAAACTTCCACATAATAAACAGCTTTGATTGCACACGGGGGAGGGTCAAGTACAACTATAAAGAAATAAAACAAAATGAAAAGTATTAACTTTGGCTATAAGAATGAACAGTGTGTAATTGTCTGTTACAATGTGGTTTTCCTAGAAAGAAAAAGGGGTAACTTAGATTTATTTGCATTTCTTATTTTTTGTTATGTGGTGGTTACAAGGTTGGTTAAATTGACTAAGTCCATTAACAGTAAGTGTTAAGATAGAGAAAATAACATAGTTTTAGTGAAAAAAAACTTTGGACATTCATATTGAAGGTTCTAAGGTTGTGCAAATAAAATATTGAAACTGTTAAATGAAAAAGTGTTTTTGTATTTTTATTCTTAAAAGAATATTACCTTGCACTCAGATTGACTCAGTTAAGCTTCTTAAATTCAGAGACAATTATTTAGTCAAATATTGTATTAAAAAATCTGAAATTTTGTGTACACTGGGATTTGAATGTTTACTAAAAGCTTGCCAAATTTTCTGAAGATACACTTAATACATTAAAAGTTATAGTATGTATAGGGTCATGGTTACATGGTAGTTACAAGGTCAGTCAAAAATGACTAAGCCCATATACAGAGAGTTAAAGTGCTATTAGCAGAATGTAGAAGCACTTCCAAAACCACCTCAATCAAATTTTTTTTATGGGTATAGACTGAAATGCCAACAATTTGCATTTCAGGTGCTTAAGAATTGCATAAATTTAAACTGGCATTAATGATTGGTATTGGTGGAAAATGTTATAAATTGTCATGCAGGTGAATGGAAGGTAGAAAATCACAGAAAGCTATTACAAATGGACAACAAGTGTCTTAAAGTGTCATTAAGAGAATATTTAAGGACTTCCAAACTAATGGTATAGTTGTTTGGCCACCTGGACAAAACAGACCATCTCTCACAGTGCAAGCAGAGGGTCACTGTGTCATTGCTGTCTGGCTCTCACACAACAGAAGCAGAGGATCACTATCTGTCATTTCTGACTCACCACAAATGTAGGGTTATTCGTCTGAGACTGATTAAGCTAGTCGCTGCAACAACAACTATGTCATATACAGACAGAAACAGGCATGCTCAATGAAGTACACAAAACAATTTACTTGCAGCAGTTGAGTTTCACCTGCAGTCAGAAAGAAGCTCATACTCATTTGAAGAGAATCTGGAAATTCTGAAATGAATACTCACATCCTCACAGTTTTATTTTTCATGATTTTGCCAAAAAGATTTGCAAGCTTTGTGAAAACTTATACCTAATCTCACGAGAAATCGTGAATTTGTGCCGTTGCATGATGACGTCATGCAGCAGAACCCTCCACAAATAAGAGTGTGACACACTTCCACAGGAAGTGATTCCCTCTTCAATTCATGCTCGTGAATCATCATTCCTTTCCTCAGCACTATCATGCACCAATGTGTTCTGAATTTGCTGAGATTTGTGACTTTTTCATTTAGATTAAGTTTAAATATACTCATCTTCAATTCACAATTTAATGTGAATACTGCTTCTGCTGATGTAAGGGAAGAATTTCCTCACACGGAATTTAATTTCTCAGCATTTGGTTTTCTCTGATCAGGAAATTTGACAAATCCTACCAATTCCAATTGTCACCTGATTATGCAGTAATTACCCTGATTTCAATTGCCGTCCTGATTATTGTTAAAACACTGGCTGCAATAAGCTTTGAATTTAGTCATATGGATGATAATGCTTGCTGCCACTATGCTTAACTGTTTGTCACATTCCTTGAAGAAGAACAGAAGGATTATCCAAATAGTGGCCTGCTTGTTCAATAAACATCGGCCCCACCGAGCATGTGTAGGACTCTTTTGAGAGAGCATTGCACCATATCAAGTGACTCAAGTCACTAAAGATTCTCTGCAAGCAACTTTTTTTTTTTATTAGAGAAGTAGTCAGAGATACCTCAGTACATCATAAACACTGATTTCAACCCTTTCAACAAGCTATTATGTATGATGTGATGTTAGAGTTATCAACTATTCATTTTACTCTACATTGCTGATAGTTTGTGGTAGAGGAGAATAAATACCAGATACGAAATTCAGGGATACTGTAAAACTATTGATACGCATATGTACCAGGCTGCTCTTGCTCTGCACATGGTAATCTTGTTCCATATTCAAGTGAAATGACAGAAACTAAAATTTTAAATTCACTTCAATCAAATGTTCATTTAAATCTGAATTACTAATGGTTTGTATTTTAGAGAAGTTGATGGGTCATCATGTGCTTGAGATTTGCACACGAAAATAAAATGAAGCTGATGATTTACATTATTTTATAACAGTTCTTACTCTATCATAGCAAAAATGTTATAAATTCTAATTATCCTTTAATTGTTCTGTACTGTGTATTTAATATTACTTTTTTCCTTTAGCATCTGCTGCTAAGAATTGCAGGAGGATACAGTTGCTATTCCAAAGCAAGATGAGAGGCTTGGGTCAATATAAAGCTGTACTTACTCAGTTTCAGTCACACCATCCATCCATCTCTTGCTGGGGGCACTCTCTTACCTTGAATCTTATAGTTTTCATATTAAATAATTGTGCTGCTGGTTGGGTGGCATTTTCACTATGTGGCCAAACCACTTAATTCTTTCCTTCTCAATGTATTTGGTGATTGGGGTTATTCCAACCATTTTCCTGACCTTTATGTTTCTTGTCTTGTCTAGTTATGTCAGCAGCTTAAGTAAGCATCTGATCTCTCAAGTGTTGATTTTCATATTTAATACTTTTATATTATTAACATTAAGCAGTAAGATTAATAGTAACCTTGAATATTCAAGAATAAATATAGCAAGAAAGCTATTTTGTAATGATGCTAAACTTTAATATCTGTAAGTTGTGTTGAGAAGAGTTAAATTTTAAATTTGCAATGACACTTTTGAAGGTGTATCAGGAGTGTGCATCAGAAAAAGAAATACAAGCTCTTTAAGGGGCTGTCATAGTAATTATTATTAATCTTTATTATTGTATTCTGTTATAATTTCATATATAATCCATCAAACTCCTCTTCAGCAATGATAACAATCAATGCACAATTAAATGTTTTCTGAATAAAATTACCACTATTTCTAGGAAAATACAATATTCATTTTATTTAACATGTTTTGGTTTTGCACCTTCATCAGCGGTTACATCTGCTGTTGAGGATTGGCTAGAATTTAAAGGAAGACTTGGGAAATTTGAATGTGTTTAAATAGAAAATGTGATATGATCTTATGAATTATTGTTATCCTAACATAAATTTCAATAATAAAGTAAAAGTGAGCTTTAAACATAACTATGAGTATTGTTAAGAATGTACTTGCATTTGTCTAGATGGGTGTGAGGTTTTATACATTGTTGGATTTGTGAAAAAAAGATATATATTTATACAGTTAAAGTGGTGTAAAACACTGAATTTCAAGTAAAAATATAAATATTGATAAACTTCTACATGGACGTGCATGCTGTGAAGGGATATTTGAAGGGGGAGTTAACATTTTCAATTTAATTAAACATGTGTCATATTTTCTATCTAAACCAGTGGTTCCCAACCTGGGGTCTGCGTAGGTAATACCATCTCATTAAGCAAGTAAGTTTTTAATACTGATGTTTTCTTTAATTGCACACTCAGTTATATATGTCTTTTATTTGATAGTGAAAAGTGGGAGAATGAGTTAATTATTAGTTAATAAAAATAGTTTGTTGGGTAGGCGGAATCTTTCAAAAACATGGGTTCCGTGGGGGGGGGGTGACAATAAAAGGGGTCCTTGGTGGAGAAAAGGTTGGGAACCACTGATCTAAACTATCCAGATTTTCCAAGTCTTCTTTCCAGTTATAGCTAAGCCTTTTGTCAGCAGTTGTGGCCTATGATAAATGTGCAAAACTGGAACATCAGATGTAAATAAAAAGCATATTTTATTTTCCTGAAGAGTTGTTTTATTCACAGAATGTCTATTATATTCAATCTGTTCAATATAATTTGAAAAATTATATTAATGCTGTGAAATTTCAGCATTGTCTTAGAGAAGTCCATATTGCTGAAAAAAATTTAATTTTTGAAAATAGCTATGTTGAAATATTTTCACAATATTGAGTGCTGTTAAATGAACCACATTTGGTCTACGAAGTGGAAGATCCACATGAAATAGTGCCACATTAACAACAGGTGTCAAAAATGATGAAATAACATGGTGAAGAAAATGCATGAAAACCAGTTTTTAAGAAAAGTAATCTGTTTATAACTGAGTTCACAAAAAGTTTTAAACAGATTCTTAACTTATCTATTACAAACATGTATGAAATATTTAGAAATTGAATAACTATTGTTTGTTTATGAAATTCACCTAACATTAACTATTCAAAACATAGTGCACTGTCTTGTTGAAAAACTTTTCTCAACCATTAGTTTATTATTTCATAATACCAGATAGGAAAATACCTACATAACTAGAAGAATAATGGTATTATGTGCCATTTGTCATTATTTCCAGAATTTTATTACTTACATTATGTCAGAACACATAAGCTTCTGTTCTTGTGGATATAAGGATCTAAACTATTTTTCTGTCATTGAAGTATTTAAGGTTCAAAATTTAAATTTGTTGAGTCATGGTATAAATCCAAATGATGTTGATATACAACTAGTAGCTTTTTTTGCACATAGATGATAGACCAATATTTTATTGTTGTGTGTGTTCAGTGTTTTATTTATTTTTCACAGAATGTCAGGCAGTGACACTCCAAGTGGATTTGGATTTGAATTGACTTTTCGTTTAAAGAGAGAAGCAGAAGAGACTGCTCCTCCCACATGGCCTGCAGCAATCATGCAAGCATTAGCAAAATATGTTTTTCAATCAGGTTAGTTATTAATGGCTCAAAGTGTAAACAGTGCAGCTACAGCCAAGTTGTTATGATGAACCATTAAATTAAAATGTTCATAAACCTCTTTTAATGGAAATTTTAATTTATTTTTCTATATCTTATTAAACCAAAAAGTTCAGAATTTAGTCCAGATTTTTTTAATTGTACATCTTCCAACATTATCTACTGTGAAATTTTACTAAATTTCGTTGGATATCCCCATCTTTTATCATTTAAAATATAATTACAATTTTCAAAAGATACTTACCCTCCGCTGCCACCTTAGTTATTCCTCGACATTGGCCTTGCCTATCTAAGTATTGGTCTTGCATGCTCCAGTCTTTTATACCCCACTTAAATGCCCTTTGCAATATCTAACTTGCAAATCCCTCCACCCATGCCAATGTGCCCTCTCTCCTAACACTGTATATAATCACCTCACTCTGATAATGTCCCCCAGTTGGACAGCAGTAAGTCTTCGGATTTACAATGCTAAAATCAGGGGTTCGATTCCTCTCACTGGACACAGCAGATAGCCGGATGTGGCTTTGTTATAACAAA